TTGATCAGCCCCAAGCGGAAGGGCGAAACTGGTCGTGGGCTGTCGAAGAGTTTTCAGCAACTTTGTGAGTAGTTTCCTTTGTGAAAAAGTCGAATGTCACCTTCACAAGAAGACTTTTTTGTTGTTGGTTGTTCCTCGATGCAAAAATCACATGTACAAATGAAGTATGACACTCGAACTAAGAAGCCACTTCAAGAACAAGTGGTTGCTCAGTCTGAAGTTCTCCTGCAAAAATACTCCATATATTCATAAAGTAAACTACTCACAAGGTTTCTGAAAACGCTCCCAACAAACATCCCATATACTTCAAAGCATAGGTAGTGCGAAATCTTTATAACCAATATATGGGTCTATGTCAGCATGCAATGTAAGATAGGAGCACCAAATGTTTTGGCCACTGGTCGCTGAAGGAGCTCCAAATGTCACCATTAGCTCGCTGCCAATGGAAAGGCTTGTGTCTGCTGGTTTATATAAGGTCCACACTTCCGGGCTGAGTGAGTGCTGTCTTGGCTATTGATTAACCAGTTTACCGGTAAATTTGAGACTTCGCACTTCGGTCCACTCACCGTGAATAGGTGACCTTAAATCTCCCGCTAGACTTGTTCCTAGACCCGCTACACAGATGGCATTTCCTGAGTCAGAGTTTCCACTAAACTAACAGTCTCATGCACCTGCTGTCGTGTAAATAGGACCGATCGATTGCTTTTACCAGGGAGTCCCATGTTTCTGCTTTCATTCCTCAGGATAGGTTTTTGTTCCCTTTGTACGGATTGAATTGTGTGCCAAGGGCGGAATTGCACAGCCAAAGTAGACTTTGCTAAGTAATAAAGAATCAAATTTTTGTAATGTACTACTAATAAGGTTGCTGAAGATCTGTAGCGACTGTAACATGAGGTGGCCTGTTGCAGCACATTCAGTTGCCTGAGAACATCACAAACGAGAGATTCGGCTGGGTTCCAGGTGAGTCTCTCGAAAAACCAAATTAGTTTGCAAATGAGTGTATATTCGCTAGGGAATCAAATTCTTATAATTTTGCAAGATAGCTTGTGTAGCTCGTTGGAACAAGCCAAACGGCCCGTAGCCGAACGTTTCTTGTACGAAAAATCAACCAGTTACCTGTGCGTTTAAGGACGTATTTGGATCTGATGATCTTTTGCATGTTACTGTATTGTAGGCTTACAAGGACCCGGTAAACGACTTCAGCCAAGATACCTTTGCAGTGTTATGAAACTCTATCAGGTTTTTTCTACTAGATAACACAAAGTTGACCGTGTGGTCGATTGATTACATCCACATAAGCGTTTCTGTAAGACTCCTTCCTCCTCCATCCGTGTTCATAACAAATGGAAAGGCAGTGGACTTGAGGTTCATCCTCAGTGAGGCCCTTTGAACGTTTTTGCACGCCAGCTACCCAGCGTCTGACAGAAGCATTATAGCATCGTTCTAGCACCGCACACTGCATCACTTAGGTGATGATTCTCACTTGATTGAGACTACCTGGGAGATTACTGATTCATAAGTCCGGTGTAGGTTGACAGCGTGACTGGAGGGCAACCCCTGGCAGAGTAAAGAATATAGGCTGATGAGCACTCACAGTCCTGGAGAACGCTATACTATGGACCGACAACAGCACCAGAACATGGTTATTCAGTCTGAAAGCACGCGAGCAAAAGTTCGGTAAATTCTACTCACACGAACTCAGTAGTACCCGTCCTGAATCATACTCCACCACATCTTTAGCACACCCACTCCACAGCGTATTCAAGTAAGTGGCCAACATTTTTTCTCAGTGTCACACAGACTGATTTAAATAGGCAAAGAGAGCGATCTTTTTCTAGATACTTATACGTCAAACGCTCTGGAAATTCGTCAACTGTGATGGGTGGCTAAACAGAAAGATCCAAATTTTCAGATTATTACCCGCCTGAATCCGACGAAGCTCAGCGCTATTGTGGGGTAGTTCAACCATTTTTTCTATGTAAACACCAAATGCCCACATTTCCCGTTTCAAATATTGCCCAATTTCAGTGACAACTTTTCCATCCCACTACTGTTTCTGGTTGTAGGAGATCGCGTTCCCCGAGGTCCATTGCTCCGCCAAGCCTCCGATCCGCTCAGTCATCCCACCATCCGAGGGCGCAGTCTGCCAGCTGGTCTGGGTCCATGGTCTTCCTACTCGGAACCAGGTCCGGTCCCAGGTCCTTCACATGTCCCCTTGTTCCAGCAAGCCCTACTAAGTCCTCGGATTCAACTACCACCAGCCGGTAGTGGACCAAGCCAGCTAGAACCACTTGGAGGTGCACGACCGACGAGCTTTCAGTCAACCGCATTGAACGGCGCAGGATTACAGGGACAAATTAATCGGCTGAGTCTGGCTCAGCTACAGGCACTGTACCAACAGTTACTGCAACAGTACGAACAGTTATTACAACAACAGCAACAGAGACAGCAGCAGCAACAACAACAACAGCTGGACCAAGCAGGAGGTAAACCATCTTCACACTCTGTCCCTGCCTAATTACAACATCCAGATTTTCGTTCCCTATTTCGATTAGCGGTCTGGCTAATCTTCCTTAATACTGCTATTTCAGATGCGATTAGAGGCCTGCCCTTTCAGACGAGTTGACACTTCAAGTTCGTGCCTTTCGGTTGATGAGGCTTTCTTTACGAGGAAAATCGTCGTTTTCTAATTGGTTACTATTATCCATAACGATTGTATTCACTGCACAGAATGTTAGATATCGCATCGTTTTACCTGGGAACTTGGTAATGGGCTGAGAGTTGCTGCGTTTCTTCCTTTTTTTGCATCATTGGTTTATCTGTTGCAGAATACTAACGTGCTTAGTCAAGTCATGTCCGGAAACGCCTGCCGACCTCGCGATCTAACGTTCGAGCAGTTCTCAACAACCAGTGTAGATTACTATGATATCGTACCAACCACCAACCCACAGCTACGCACTACTACGCTCCACAATAACGCACTGATGATGTCACCTCGATTGGTGATGAAACCTTTGCAACCAAATTGCTCAGCTCAGCGAACAAGCCAACGACCACCATATCGTATCAAATGAAACATGAGGCGACCTTGTGCAGCACATTCAGTTGAAGAAGGCCTTTGTAAATGAGAGATGCAGCTGGAATCACTCGATATGTCATCAAAAATCAGATTAATAGTACATGTGACCATTTGATGCATACCATATAACCCCAGCAGCCATTTGTGGAAATTGCGTCCAAAGAAACCAGGTTCTGCCATGTTAGAAGTTCGTAGTTTGTGGGTAATTCAGTCAGCTGCTGGCTGCTCGTCAAGCGGGTTCTAGTGGAAGAAATCGTGTCACAAAAACCAAGTCCCTGTCTGTCGTTCAGAGGTCATTTTCGTAAAACCAAGATGCTGCGGCCTTCCATGGGTGTCAGTGGAAGAAACGAACGAACGAATAAAATAATTTGTTTATTAGAAGACCATACACAAAAGGATTCTTATCTTTTCAAACCCAGGGAGTTTTGAATGGGATAATGCTGCCATTTGATCTTGTTTCGGGCGGGTTAAGTTCCACCGCTTGGCAAGATTATGGATGACAAAAACAAGCGGGAAGAAGTGAAGACTGCATTTGCATCACGTTCGGATTCAGAGCTTCATGTCCAACTGAGCTTTTGATGCGAGCATTCAAAGTACTGCCACGTCACAACAGACAAAAGAACAAACGAATGATCCACAAGCATACCTCACACATTGATTGGTAAATAGTTCCATCTCCAGAGTTTACACTGCTTCAAAGATGTTCTACATCCATCCAAAGGTTTCTCGAATTTTATCCGCCCTAGCTTTTTTCCAATCAGCTCAGAAGGAACTCTGCTCTGTCCCTCTACATCATAAGCTATCTTATCAGGCTCCAGTACATCTGTCTATCTGTAGACCGACAAGCTGTGCTTCTTCGGCGTTTTTTTCCCTGCGTGACAATCCCTTCTCCCCTGAACTAGTTCACCTGTAATCCACCATATGTTTATTGACAAGCAGATGATAAGCGGACTGCTTTAGTTTCTCGTCGAATCGGTTTGAGTGTCCGTGCGCACATAGTCAGTCCACCGAACAAATAAGAGAAAACTCGAGAGAGTGGCCAAGGGGTAGACAGAATGGTCTGTGGCCTGTGTTTCGTCAGGTTGCCGCCACCAGCAAACCAGCATGCGATCTAGCGATCATCTGTATCGATCGTTATTTGGTCGACAAACCGACCAACCACATAAAGGGGAGACAAGTATGGAGATTGCGACATGCCTGAGCAAAGTTGTCGGTACTTGATGGTAAGTTGAGATTGGTTGTTTGATTCCATAAGAGGTTGAATCAAAAGATCAAGCCTACCTACCACGGCTACGAAACTGGTACTCTCGTCACTGATATTTGAATAGAACAAAATCGATAGGCCGATGGCAAAAGTTGGCAAAGATGCCAGACATGATTATGGCAAATTAAAATGCCTGTAAAATGGCCTACGTCATGACCAATCAAACAGCCAATAAGCAGCGTGATTATCGAAGAAAATTTCCCACTTTCGTAAGAAGTGAAAATTCTACCCCTTACCGATTTCACACAATTTGAAGAATAACTCATGGGTCTCAGGAGGCAAAATGAACTTGATGTGACAATTGGGCCTGAAAAGCATCCAGATTCTATTCCAGACAAAAACTATTTCCTCCGTCTAAATAGCTGTGCATCGCTTTGGAAGTTTTTTTCATTTCATTTTTTTCAGTATAACTTCGAATTTTTACCCAAAACCAAATTCCTGGTTTCAAGTAGAACATAAGGTTGACGGAGACTCGGGACTGGACTGCCCTGATGAGCCCCCCAAATAGGGCGAAACCGGTCGTGGGCTGTCGAGGAGTTTTCAGCAACCTTATGTGTAGTGTATTACAAACTCCTGGTTCCTTGTCGGGAAAAGATAC